ATTATTATTTACAAAATGGGTTTATCCCATTGGTCTATTAAATTAAATAAGTATATAAATTATTAATATTTTCTATTATTTGTTATTTTATTATATATGCGCTTAAATATAATGTCCTGTGGACGTTCAGCCCTCAGTCAGCTAATTGAAAATTTATTTAAATATTGTTAATCCGTCATAAAATATATATATTATAATGCCAACTGAATATATATATATATATATATATATATATATAGCTCAGCTACGGGTTGTACGCATGTATATTGGGCGGCCTGGGCCATGTCATAGTCAGGGGTGGCGCCAAGATTTGCCCGAAGGGAGGCCCGAGGTCCTCGACGGGGCGGTGCCCCCGACGAGGTGTCAGATTTCCACGACGAAAGCAAAGTGGGTGTGGTTGAGCTTCGATTAATAGGTTTCGAAAGTGGTCCTGGGGGCGAGGCTCCCGAAAATTTCGACAATTTAGGGGTTGCAAAGGCTTATTTAATCGATTTTAGAGTCTACTAAAATGTAAAAAATACATATAATATTTTTTTCTCCCCGACGAATTGTGCTTTTTCTCCCCAACGGGGGAGGGGTGGAGTGGCAGCTTTCCCCGACGGGGGACCCTGGACCCCCACTTGCGCCACCCCTGGTCATAGTAGCGATTTTTTTTAATGAAAAAAGTGAAAATCGATCAGTTTAATTGATTAATAAGTATATCTAGCAATTATTATGTAGGTCTATCTAATAAAAATTGCTGATTTTCCTTGGCGTGTGCCATACCACCCTGACTGGAGCCGTTGTAGGGCCTGAGTTGAGCCCCTGTAGAAACGTACAGTAGCTTATTCTAATATTGACCCTCGCCCGAAGTTGATTCCCCTGATTCCTAATGCTCTATGGCGTATTTCTCACCTGGTAGATCTTTCCATATGATGGGAATACCATACATGGTCCTCTTGCCATTAATAAACCAAAAGCTAGTAACACTAAATAATATACCAGCAGTCTGTTATTTAAAAATCTAATGTATACACCTTGCTTAATTCGAAAGCCATTTAATTGGTTTACTAAATAATGCATAGCATATTGTACCCTGTGTATTCATAACACATATTTAATTTAGGCCACATTTTTTACAGTATATGTATTTCACAATATCCGTCAACTCGTATAATATAGGCGCACTTTGCTTGTTATTCATATTGCATTATACGGTAATTATGTTCGTGTATCTTGCACTTTATTTATTCATTGAGGAATAAGCATACTGTACCCTGGGTATATATAACACATGTTTTATTTAATTAGCATACTGTCATCATTATAGAGCAACATGATGTAGTCGGTGCTGAAGTGCGAACATTTTAAGAATATGAACCTCGGTGCCCGGAAATTGCACTCTCATACCTTCTGACCGGTAATTCATAATCAACAATAAACAAATATTCTTCCTAATAAAATTTGAGTGGGTGCGATGGCACCGTCTGCACCCAACCCCACCCCTCCCCCCCACCACATCCGCATTTATATCAATTGTATCCGCTAATTTCGCCCAAAATCAAAATTTTATTTATTTATTTGAATCGGACGGTAGGTCCCTCGCGACGAAGCACAGTGTATACTTATTTATACAGTAAAAAATGAAATCATTTCAAATTTGTTCCATAATTTTAATAAGCTGAATGTGCACTGTCTCTTATACACATCTAGATGTGTATAAGAGACAGATCTCAATCTCTACGGGCTTTGTTTTAATTTGCTTTAACAGTAGAAATATCATTTCTACTAGTAATAAACATTGCTGTAACAGTAGAAATAATATTTTGAAAATGATGTTTTACC